ATAGAAAAAAGTAGTAACATTTTCAACCCAAGATAAATTTATTTTGAAAATATATTCAATTATTGATTTGATGAAACTAATTTAGTATTATAAATATTACTATATTTGTCTATAAACTTAGTCAAACTTGAAACAGTTTGACTTTGACTGAAACGGAGGGAGTAGTCAATTTATATGGTCGAGATACATGAATGATTGAAGTTTTAGGATCGTGAGTGCACAATTTCCAGGGTTACCATAGGAATTAACAGGGGATTCATATAAACAAAACAGAAGTTGGAATTGCAAAAAAATAGTTGTCTTGTAGTGTCGCCATAAAGTCTGAATATGTCTTTGAGAGCAATCGACCTCTCATATTTCAGCATGAAACTTATGCAGTATCATCTATCAACTTTGTTTTCAGCCTTTTCAGCTTCCCTATACTACGGATGTGACAATCTATGTTTGCTCTCTTGTAGGTACTTGTATATAAGATGGGGGGTAGAGCTGTCAAATATGACAGTGGTTGTTGGTGAAAGTGGTGATACTGATTATGAAGGACTATTAGGAGGCGTGCACAAGACCATTATTCTCAAAGGCTCATTTAATGCTGTTCCTAACCAAGTCCATGCTGCCAGAAGTTATTCATTACAGGATGTCATATCCTTTGACAAACCAGGAATTACTTCAATCGAGGGATATGGTCCAGATAACCTTAAGTCAGCTCTACAACAATTTGGTATACTGAAAGACAATGTTTAACTTTGAGAGAAATCAAGTAGGTATGCACACACACTACTATACTAATCTTGAACATCGTTTCACTATTTTGATTACTCAACTGAAGTAGCTTTTGAATTTCTGTAGACTTAAATTTCAAATTCTTCCTTGGTTGGTTGATCTAAATTGCCATTTCCTAGAAATTTCTCAACCGTAAACTTCTTAAATTTGCGATGTCCATCAATTAGAAATCTTGCAGTACCTTGTACTCCATCGGAGTACTTCATCACCATCTATAACTCTATATTAAATATATCTGTTAATTTTCAAAGGTTACTATGTGTGATTTGAGTGTACCAACCAGTTTAAACTGTAAGGGAAGGCGTGGTTACGCTTCAACAGTCTCAGACATATATGAGGCTGGGACTTTATCTAGAAATGGTACCAATATTTTTTTTTGTTATTGTGTGAATACACCCTATTATTTTTCGTACACCAATTATTTAAACAAAAACTAAGTTAGGAAAGTGGGCAATTTAATTGTACTCCAACAATGGACCATTTTGTTTTGTCATAGTGAGATTTACTCTCTCTATTCACAAATAGATCACATCCTAGAATGCATGTGGTCAGCTTCAATTCAATAATATATGCAAAAGTACTAGGATTTTATATGTCAAAAATATCAATTGTAGATTTGTTATAAAAAAAACCTTACATACATTACATTCTTACAATATTTTTATGTAGATATGATTTGAAAAAACAATGATCACATATAATATTTTTATTAGACTTAAAACCTTAGTTATCAATTATTACTCCCTCCGGTAAAGATAACTCGATGTTTCGACAGCCAAAACCTATCAAACTCAAGCCATTTTCTTTGTCCAAAGCATCAAATAATACCATCTGGAGGTAGTAACAATGAAGCTACTGATCCTCTGTCATGGGCGTTAGGCCAGGAGGTCAAGGCCCACGACCAGGGAAGAAAATTACACAAGACCCAAGTCCTTTACCAAGTCAAAAGGACTTCGTTACTAGCGTGGCACGTGTTATGTGGGAATCTCAACGCAATGAGTCTCTCTCCCAACACTTCTCTCTCTCTCGCTGAACCCCTTCCATTCTCAAACTATTCGGCGAGGAGTCGAATCGAGCTGTGGGTGCAGTGGGCGAGCAGCGTCGAGATTGCCTCAGAGCGCTAGGCGAGCAGCATTCAGCTCACTAGCTCAGCCCCTACCACAACCACCACCACCTCAGGCTGGCATAGCGCGAGCTCTCATGTGACTGCTTTATCTTTGCAGGATAGTTGGGTACTGTTTTTTTTCTTGCTTTATTAATTTTTTTTGAGAAAATTGATCAATCCTTCAACAGTTACCTGCATGATGAAAATATGATTATAATTTCGTTAGCTTTTAAATTAATGGAGCCAATGGACTCTGCTGCTAGCCACCGTGCCCACGGCAGTTTAGTTGGAGCTCTAAGACGTTGCCTGGAGAGCGGCTTGCTAGCCATGTCTGTCATGACGGGCCTGACTTTGATGCTGCTCCTAGACTTGTGGCCCCTGCAGCCGGAGACGTGGAAATCGACTTTGGGTGTGACCTGGAGTCCTGGACACCTCATCAAAATCACAAAAGATGGTTTAGACACGGGAGATGGAAGAGAAGGGATGGGAAAGATAGGGTGTTGCTTTGAGATTCACACATAACGTATCATGCAAGCAGCGTAGTCTTTCGGACTGGATAAAGGACTTAGGTCCTGTGCAATTTTCTTCCCACGACCAGCCGAATACCTGCCCAGGTAGACGCTACCTGTGCGACCCCACGTAGTGTCGATTCAATTAGTGTATCTTTGTTAGGCGATAAGATTAGGTGGAGTCCTTAAGTCAATTGTAATCAAGGAATGAATCAAAATATACTCAGGCAACCTTTAGGCAAAATATGAATCTCTTGAGTTCTTCTCGCCAACCTTTAGTCTTCACTCATCCCAACCAAGCTCGGGTGTGTGGGTTTCCTACCAACCTTTACTCAGGACTCTTTATCCTCTCCTTAATATAATGATACACAGATCTCCTGCGTGTTCAAGGCAAAAAAAAAGCCAACGTCGTCTGGCTATCTTACCAGCGGTGTTTATCCCCCAATAAAACCTTGCCTATAACACCCACTATAGTGTTGTGGATGCCACAATTTGACGAAACTACTAATGTTGGCTTATTTGCATCATCTTAGATCTCGACACCCATGTATCACCTTAAGTTTAACGAAGCAAACAAATTAAGTATTTACAAGTTTTCATGCCTAAATAGCCCAACAAGATGTGAGGTCATCAGACACATCAGATGCTGGACAGAAAGGGTAGGATTGTGACGAGAGGGAGCTGGGCTATTTGTTTGCCGAGGCTGCATTGTGAGGAGTGCTCAGCGCGACCGAGCAGATTGCTTGGTACAGTAAAGAGGTCTCGGCGCTTTTAGTTCGGGGTTTGATTGATTGGAAGTTATGCTCTCAAATATACAGCTCTGCTTTTATTTTGTCACCTTCTGTTGTGTTGTCAATTATTATGCTTTTGAAATTTGAAAATCTAATTAGCTAGCACTTCTCAACTGAATGTCATCCAACTAGAACTGATTTATTTTATTTCATTTTATTTATCTAGTTATGGTAGTGCATGTTCTACATTTGTTGTTGATAGAACAAATAGTCCAACTGCAGTGGACACTGTTTATGATTTTGAACACAGTTCTGTCCTGATTCGTTGTACTAGGATGTGTTACATCCAGTTCTAGATTCGTTTTTTATGGGACGGTGAGAGTAATTGATTTTGAACACTGTTTATGATTTATTTATGATCTATACGCCTATACCTAGTTAAACATGTATCTACTTCACCTACAAAGTAAAATGGACCGTACTAATCTTAACTTTTTAAAATAACTTAATCTTACATGTATCTCTATCTCAGAGCAATATAACTTGAACTACAAACTTACTGGGTCTTAGCCTGCGGAACTCCTAAAATTCCTCCGCCATCCTTTGATGCAAGAGGATTTAATTTGGTTTAGTAGTTATGTCTTTTGAAACAAAAATGGGCCGTCACACAACGCTGAAACGGTTAATAATACTATTTGTTTGACTTATTCTAATTTTTTGCAGTTTCAAGTAGCATTTATTCTACGTGATCGAGATTGAGAAACGAGCAGTAGGGCTCCCTCTCTGCGGTTCTATATCATCTCACACGGCACCAATAAGCTTTGCACCCTGGTGAACATTGGGCTATCGTTCTATGGCCCTTGCTGCAACCAGAGATGGGGGATACAGACTTGCTTCTGTTTATCCAATGTAAAACTGATGATGATGAGTTCTCTAACTGTATAGTATATCGCAATAAGGCCGGTGCTTACAGAAGGCACTGTGTGCATAACATTGTTTTGTTGCTCAATCGGAATATTTTGAAGTATTGCTTGGGTCCGGTCGTCCGGAGACTCCGGATATGTTCACCTGTTTGAGGTTTCACCGTTTTGGTTGGTTCGTCTCAGCTCTCCTTCAGACTACTGTAAGTTCTCGACAAATGTTCACTGATATAAAAACCAAATACACAACCCCCCTAGGCCAAGCGGTTCATGCCTTCATGGTTTCTGTGAATCATATGACGCAGATATCCTCATCCCATTGCAAAATATATTTTTTTAGTGAAAATTAACAAACTAGAAAAACCAAATTGAAAAACTATACCCTACAAAACACGTATTCTTTAGATCCCGTTGCAATGCATTCCAAGGGCATAGCCACATCGCACTATATTCAAATATTAGTGTTCTACGATAACAAACAATGCGGGGATTTAGTTTTTTGTTTTGTTAACTAAATCTATGATAGCTGAACGGTCAATGCGGTTGCCTTTTTTTTTTCTGGCCTTTTTTTTTCTGTATTGAAAACTCATGTACTACCTCCGTTTCATATTATAAAACTTTCTAGCATTGCCCACATTCATATAGATGTCAATAAATCTAGACACATATACATGTTTAAATTCATTGACATATATATAAATATGAACAATGCTAGAAAATCTTATAATATGAGACGGAGGAAGTATTTATCTATGCTTTCTATATAAGTGAGACCACAAACAGGCACTACGTCTAGTGACATCATCAAAATAGTTTTAACTGTTGGATCGACAAGTTTTTCAGGATTAACCGTTAGACAAAAGTCCCCTCCACTTCTTCACCAATTAAACAACGTCATTAATCACCACCCTATCTAAATGCTATATATTTAATCAGGTACTCAATTGGACAATAATACAACCAAGATATCATATCATATTTACTATTCCCAACCATCATTCAATCAATTTTATATACATATACTAATAGAAATATATGTATATACAAGAAAATAGAAATGAGAATTGCTTAGTAATTTCCGCAGGAATCACTTAGTTCAATATATAGTATTGAGTGATTTAGGCCTCTCTCAAAGAGAGATTCAGTTGCTCTTAGTAGAACAAGCAGGTAGAAGTATAACACAACTTGCAAAAGATTCTTGAAATATGCAGATAAGGACTCCAAAAGAAAACAGAAAAGCAATCTAGCCTCGTTTCGCTTCTTCTCCTGATTCAGTGACCTAGACAATGAAGCCGACAACGGCTACGGCGAAAACGAGGTCGACTGCAAAAGATTGCATCGAGCCGCAATACGGGCCTTGCAAAATCGGATGTTGAAGCGAACTCTATGAACATGAGAACTTTCGGTCGAACCTTGGAGATGCCTCGTCGGAGACAACACATGCCCAATAGTAATCGACTAAACTCGGTAGGGTCCACCATATACCAAGTCTTATATAGAACCGCATCTCGTATATAGAAGGAGTTTCCGATAAGAAAGGACAAATAGAGTTCAAGTTAGAAACGACCAGGACTACTTGGATCGTATCCATATTTATCTCTCTAGTTCTACTTAGACAAGGAGACATCTATGGGTATAAATACAAGACCCCCTAGGAGGAGAGGGGACACACAAGCCAGAACAAACCAATACGCCGCCAAACATCGACATCAGAATTAGCCTAGACAGACCCAATTTGGTGCATGCGGAGGCCGACAAGGGGATCTAGCGCTACCTCTAATCTCGACGAGTTCGTACTTGAGGAGGAAGACTACCCTGTCGTCGACTATGTGTTGGTGATCCATGCCGCCAAGTCAACGACAGCTAGATAGGTTATCCCAATTATTGTACTTGTATGATTCGGATGAACAAAGAGCAACACCGGCTTCGGCCAATAGGAGTAGGGTTGTTACCTTCTTGTGAAGGGGCCCAAACCTGTATAAAAATCCTTGTCTATGTCTCTTTTACCTCAATCTCACATATACCCTGGTACCAACGACCCCCATACCATGCAAATACCATAATCATGACCTAAAATGTCGACAGTGGCGCGCCAGGTAGGGGAATTTTGGTGCTCCAAGGTTTTGACGAGATGGGTTCAAGAGATGGATTCTCTGACAACAAACTAGTCGACGACTTCGGTTGCCTTCAGGTGGTCGAGAGATGCCTACTCCTGGTTTTCGACCAGTCGGTTGTAGTGATTTCTCTCCACCTATTAGTTCTCTTTAGGTGATTCAGAGATGCCTCCTCCTAGTTTTCGACCAGTCGGTTGTAGCGATTTCTTGCCACCTATCAGTTCTCTTCAGGTGATTGAGAGATGCCTACTCCTGGTTTTCGACCAGTCGGTTGTAGCGATTTCTCGCCATCTATCAGTTGTCTATAGGTGATCGAGAGATTCCTACTCCTGGTTGTCGACTAGTCGGTCATAGCAATCTTCCGCCACCTATCACTCAACTTCTATTAGTCTAGACGATGACTACAACTGGTCTTTCGACCAGTGACGTAGCGGTCCTCGCACCTCAACTCCTAGTGGTTGAGGTATGATTACAGCTGGTCTTCGATCATCAGCGGCGTAGCGATTCTCCCACTACCTCTATGATTTATTGAATACAACTACACACTCGGTCTTCGCCTTGTGTGGTAGTGACCTCATCAACCCATTTGCGTCAAATTCTGTAAGTGTTTGTATGTGCAATATTTTTCCGTTGATCCCCTTTTCTTATATCGCCCTATCTTGAAGTCGTCCTATTATTCCTTTACGCTATTCTAAATGCATATTAACTAAGCCGTGTAATCGGGAATTGGCTTTCCCAACTTCATGGCTAGGGGCTAGGATTTTGTTAGCTTCAACTTGGTTTGTTATAAGATTTAAGCTGCCTTTGTGGAAAAATGACTTTTCCATAAAGACAGGTGAGGGCTAGGAAGTGTACCATACTCCAATTATTGAGTACAGCTTTAGCTAGAATACTCTTTTATTGTCACATGCAAATTCAATTTATTTTCAATTTTCAAATTCATATTATATCGTGTTACCCTTGAGCGTTCGCTCGGGGGCTATTTGTATCTAACAATTTGTTTTGAGTTTTGATTTCAGGAATGTCAGACTTCAGGGCTTTGTCGCGGACTTTATAACTACTCGATTACTCGAGAATGGTTGGTGGAGTTCGACAAGGATTACGGAATAAAGTAACGCTGTACCCGCTGAGACAAAATTTTCTGACTTCAATCCAAATTCTTGATTACGGCAAGATAAGGAATTAAGTCACATTCTCCTCACCTCCTCGGTTGTCCGAGAATGGTTAAGCGAGCACAAAAACTGATATTCCAAGGTCTTCGGTTGAGAACATCAAGTCGATCATTTGCATTGAAGTCGGAGGCTTCTATCAGGGTTATGAATAGCACATATCCAATAGTAATCGACTAAGCTCAGCAGGGCCCACCATATACCAAATCTTATATGGAATCGTACCTCGTATATAGAAGGAGTTCCGGATAAGGTAGGACAAATAGAGTTCAAGTTGGAAACGATAAGGACTACTCGGATTGTATCCATATTTATCTCCCTAGTTCTACTTGGACAAGGGGACATCTATGGGTATGAATACAAGACCCCCTAGGAGGAGAGGGGACACATAAGCCAGAACAAACCAATATTCCGCCAAACATCGACATCAGATATTAGCCTAGACAGATCCAATCTGGTGCCTGCGGAGGCTGATAAGGGGGATCTAGCGCCACCTCTGATCTCGATGAGTTCGTACTTGAGGAGGAAGACTGCCCTGTCGTCGACTATGTGTTGGTGATCCATACCGCCAAGTCAACGACAGCTAGATAGGTTATCCCAATTATTGTACTTGTGTGATTCAGATGAACAAAGAGCAATACCAGCTTCGGCCAACAGGAGTAGGGTCGTTACCTTCCTGTGAAGGGGCCTGAACCTGTATAAAAATCCTTGTCTCTGACTCTTTTACCTCAATCTCGCATATACTCTACCTCAATCTCGCATATACTTTAGTACCAACGATCCCCATGTCATGCAAATACCGTAGTCATGACTTAAAACGTCGACAACATCAAACCAGTAGCAACAACCCCACCGGAGATGATTTGAAAGAACGGCGCCACTTCATCGTTGTGGAGGAAGAAGAGTTCCCACCACAAGGCAAATCTGTTTGACATGTGGATCCAAACACCAGTACAAACCTCCATAGCAACCCTGCGAACAGCACAAAGCTCCGTTTAACTTCTTTCGAGTTGTATACAAAAGGGGAAGAAGAAAACCTAGAACGAGATAAACTCGATATATAGGCTGCGTTCTTTCCCACCCCCAACAGTGCTCACGGAAAACGGAGCGATCCATTAGCACATGATTAATTAAGTATCTGCTATTTTTTTTAAAAAAAATGGACTAATATGATTTTTTTAAGTAACTTTCGTATAGAAACTTTTTACAAAAAAATACACCGTTTAGTAGTTTGAAAAGCGTGCTAACGGAAAACGAGGAGTAATAGCCTGAAAAGAACGCAGCCATAATGGGTATAAACCCGATAGCACTTGGCAAACCGTGACATAATATAATGCATGTAGCTCTAGGCCAACCACGTCATAAAAATGATACCAAATTACACCTGACTTCTATGGAGAAAAAACCAGTTTTAGAGAAGTCATGAAAGCATGCTATTGGCCAGTTTTAAAAATTACTGTGCATAGCAATGAATTTTAATAAAAAAGTTCTTTTTTGCAGCGAGCAAAGGAATTTTGAAGGTATTAGGTTAACACAGTGCATATATCACAAAAATGAGTATGCTTAAGTCCCTATAAGACATACAGCTCCACCACACCTGAAAACTTAAGCGTGTAGCATGCATTTTAATCTACTCTCGAGTGACAAATCTCCCGGATGGTGTAGACTAAGTGCATCTTATCCGAGTGGCTTCTGATCCAAGTGGTTATTTCTTGTGGGATATACCGAAGTAAATGTGATAATTGAATACTGACTAGTGCAAATACTCGGCTAGTGACCCTCGTGGGGCATAACAATTGATTGAAAGCTTGAGTGTAGGAGATAGGCTCATGGCCATGAATTCCTATTGGCAGTAGTAGAGGAAACATATGGCAAAGACGAGGTCACTCATAAACAGTAGCGGTGTCGGCCAACCATGAGGGCAAAGCTATCTGTTGGCGGTGACGTAAGAAACCAGCAGAGGCAGTAAGTGGCAAAGAGCCAAAGATGAGGTCACGCATCATTAGCAGAGGCAGTCTATGGTGAAGACGTAACCTCCCATCAGTGACACGACAAAACTAGACGGGTGTAGAGGAGTTGTCACCATGAGTACATGTTACTATTTTTAAACGACATCATTAGAAATATGAATTCCTAGCAATAGCGTAGAAATAGCCATGGTATATTTATAGTTACAGAAATAATCCTCAAACGCACGGATACACCATTGTAACATTTCACTCAAAAGTATTCCAAGGTATCGTATTTATTCAATCCAAGGGATGATTTATAAAAGAGAGAACTCTGCTAATATCTTCATACATACATATCCTTGCGGTGATTTTTCGTCCGACACCCCCTTCCCCCCCTAAAATCCCAGTCGGAATTCCATATCACACAAATAGAATCCCACATTGAGCACACCTCCTCTTCAAATCCCACATCATCACAATCGTCACAGGACCGCCTTCGTCCGTCGGCGGTGCGCACCAGCAGCCCCCGCCCTCGAATCCCAATCGCGAGCCAAAAAAAAGAAAGTCCGATTCAATCGCCCGTCCCCGTCCCCCCCCCCTCCCAAAATCTCACATGTCCGATTCAATCGCCCGTCCCCGTCCCCCCCCCCCCTCCCCAAATCTCACATTACACAAATCCCCCCTCCCTAAATCCCACTCGGAATCAGACAAATAGAATCAGAGACAAGAAAAACTGAAGCATATACACACAAATTTTATCCAAAAATTCCCATACAGCTAGATCGAAGGGGAGGGTGCCGCCGTCGCAGGTACGCCGGGCCGCCGCCGGCTCCCCTCCCGCTGGATCCAACGGAGGGGAGGGCGCCACCGCCGCTGGGACGCCGACGGGCTGCCGCCGCCTCCCCTCCCGCTGGATCCGGCGGAGGGAAGGGCACCGCCCTTGTTCGCCCCCTCCCCTCCTGCCGGGAGGGCGCCGTCGCCTGCTGCCACCGCCCGCCACGGTCGAGCCCTCCCGCAGCCCCATGGCAGGGGAGAGGAGGCGAGGGGCGGAGAGGCGTCGCCGCCCGTCGCTGCTCTCGGCCATAGCTCCCCGGCTCGTCGCGGACCACTGCCTTGGCATGGGGTCGCACGTAGAGGGATAGGGAGAGAGGAAGCGCCACGGCTGAGTCGCCGGCTCGAGGGAACGGCGTCGTCAGCTCGGGGGAGGGCGCTGCCGACTGGGGGGTACGGGGAGCAACGCCGACATGGGGGGAGGGACGGAGATGGAGGGCGCCTGCCGCTGAGGAGAGAAGAAGAAAAAACAAGAGGAGAGAGACTGTATGTGAGAGAGAAGAAAGAGACAACAGGCACCGGATGAACCGATGAAGAGATAAGGCTGAGTATGGATCGGTGGATCAGTTGCTTGTTGTGCTTCCCAACCTCTCTCTCTCTGCGTCGCATCGGTTTGATCAAACAAGCCTACTACCATACGAGTATATATGGATCCATCCTCTTTACAAAATTATGCTCACTAAACAGGAGTAATGTGATGTTTGGATCCAGTACTAAGGGTGTGTTTAGTTAACGTTAAAATTAAAAGTTTGGTTGAAATTGGAACGATGCGACGGAAAAATTGAAAGTTTATGTGTGTAGGAAAGTTTTGATGTGATGAAAAAGTTGGAAGTTTGAAGAAAAATTTTGGAACTAAACTCAGCCTAAAATTTAAATTTTAAAATTTAAATTTTAAGTTCCTGTCACATCGAATTTCAGATCTTTTTCCTTCCCTATCTGCTCTACTTCTATTTATTTTCACTGTCTATATCTAGATATTTGACCTCAAATGCAATTGATAAATGGAAAAAATATTTTCTCTAATATAATTTTGAATTTTAATTTAATTTTTAAAACATAAGTTTAAAGTTTTCTTTATGTAGTTTGGTTTTCAGCATTGTTTTTTAATTCACTAAGAACACATATATAAATGTTTTATCTGTAAAATATATTTTGATCGCTAATAAATCATTATAGCTATAATCAAATTTGGGCTCCCAATGAGGACAACCATAGATAGAGTACAAGAAAAATATAAGAAAAATATAATTTTGATATGCCACGATTTAGATGTGTCGATCAATTTAACTTTAGGCATTTTTATCTGGTAGCAACACATGAGTATATTTTCACAATTACATTGCATAGAGTAGAGTAATGTAATTGTGAAAATATAGAGGGTATTGGGGTACGTTGGAACGAGGATCTACGTAATACGATATCAAGCAAACGAAAGACAAGGATTATACTGGTTCAGGCCCCTTGATAGGTAATACCTCTAATCCGGTTTGTATGGGATTATATGATGGAAATCACAGATTACAAAGGGAATAATAGAACTCGATGATACCGACGAGACCGTAGTCGAGTTGGTTCGACTAGATCACCCGGTGACTTGGCTCCTGTAAGCTCCGGCTTCGTAGGCTGTGGTGGATGTGTTGGCGGTGAGATTCGATGCCTTAGGTCCTGCCCAGGGGGTCCCTTTTATATCGTGGGTCAGTTGATCTCCAAGTAGGACTCGAAGATATCGAACCCCACACGGTATGGCAAAAACCCAGTCTTGTCCGAGTAGAACTCCTTCCATCCGTGGATTCTGTATCTATTACATGATAGATTTCCTTAACGCATACAGAAACTATCCGTATACGCGCTGGTATACCATATCAGTATACAACGTATATCCAAGGACGTAGGGTATACCTTATCCGTAACCCTGGCAGTAGCCCTTGACTTCTGCTTATATGAACTCATGCAACCGATCACGACTTCTGTTGTCGGAATCGTTGTCGTTCTCATCTGGTCGATCTCGGTGTGAGAACTGTAGAGACAAAGAGTTATCGACAACATCGTACGAAGTTCAACGGTCATGAGTGAATTTAAATTGAAGTCAACCCAGAATTTTCCGACGGCAATCTCTCTCCTTTCCTTGGAATACGCACCGTCGGTAGTGGGCTTATTTAAAGGAGTTTTGGGGATCCATTTTGAAGTCCGTTTGCCACATAACTCTCCAGTCTTCAAGCACCCTTCGTCTTCTCCGCTCCCGCAGAGAAAACCCTAGCTTGCCTCTTTCACTTTGCTTTGTTCCCCGGCGATCCTCCAGCGACGATGGATCTCGACAAGTCCACCTCCACCACAGCGTCCCTGAAGAAGTTGCAGGACGACGACACCCTCCCTGCTCGCGGGACCATGCAGAGGGAGATAGGAGGTACTGAACTCGAACCCATCTTGGGCAGTATGGTTGCGGTCGAAGATTACATTTCTTGTGGTTTTCTTCCTCCGCCTTCCGAATTTCTTCTTCTCGTCTTGAACTTCTATGGTCTTTCCTTGCTTCAGCTGAACCCCAATTCAATCGCATTCCTTAGCATTTTCTCCTATCTTTGTGAGGCCTACATTGGGGTAGAGCCTTTCCTTGATCTTTTCTATTTTTATTATGAGTTGCGCTGGATGGAACCCAAAAAGGTATCCGGATGTATCGGATTCCGACTACGGGATGGATGGCCTGAAGTCGCGATATATCCCTTTCCAGTGCCTCTCTTCTCGCAGCAAATGGCGAGCGAGATGGTTCTATCTTTAGATAGAGAACTCGGATCCTGTTGTTGTTGTCTTTGAAGAACAACCAGACAAGATCCTTGAGTGGACCGCCAAACCCGACCTGACTCCCTCCCTCCAATCTTTCATCGACATCATCGATGACCTCCGAGTACGGGGGTTGTCGGGGTACAAAGTCGCTGCCCACCCGGCCTTTGACTACTCTGGGCCGGAGGACGCGACCCGGGTTTCTCCTCGGGGTATTTTTCTTGTAATCCAGATTTTGTTCCGGATGTGCCTGTTTCCCCTGACTTATCGAGTTCCTGTTCTCGATCTACAGGTTTGGATAGCGACACCGTGGCACGCCGCGTCGGCCAGGTGATGATCAGTGGCCCTGCGATGGCGAGCGACATCCCCGTCCCTCTTTGCGAGAAGGGTCCGGCCGAACACGAAGCCGCGATCAACGTGAGTGTACTCAATGACTCCTTTATCTTTTTCTTCCAGGATCGCATTGTGACTTCATGTTACGCAGGCTATCCCTTTGACAGATGTCATCGGGCCGCTTGCGGATCATCAGGCAGCAGCGTCATTGAAAGAGGGCGTCGCGAAGAGGGCGTCGCGAATAAGGCGTTCGACGTTGCTGCTGCTGCTACCACAAGCGGCAGCAACGTTCCGAAGAAGGGGAGGAAAATTCTCCTTTGTACTCGGGACCCGTCGGAAGGCGCCTAATCCGTCGGTAGGCCTCTCTGGTTTTCTTTAGCGCGTAGTCGGAATGTTTTGACCTCACACGATGTTATCTTGCTTAGGCCTCGGACGCGTCTCCCCCGCCTCAGCGAAGACAGAGGCTGGTGACGATCGACAAGAAGTAAGTAGATGTTTCCGAAGTCTTTTCATTCATGAAACCTTGATCGCCTGATTTTATGAAAGAGTGGAAATTCTTTGCAGGGCGGCGCGGGCGAAGGCGGCGCAGGATGGGTCCGGGGCGGCCTCCAGCGCGTCCCCTGTAGTAGCCTCGACTGATGTCGTGGTCGTGACTAGGGATCGGGAGGGGACGCCAAGCGGCCCCGCCGGCGGCCTTGTGCCCACTCGGGGCCCGCCTGCTAATGCCCTCACCTGGGGGGAGCTCCAGGCCGAGATCGAGGAGGCCAGGGCGGCAGCGTCGTCGGCTAACCAACGCGCCGACAAGCCAGCACGAGACCTGGTGGAGGCCCGTGAGGACCTCCTGAAGATGAGGGAGCTGGTGGCTGGCAACGAAAGGCAGCGACAAGGACTCGAGCACCGGATGTCGGAGCTCAAGAACAACTTGTCAGAGATCCGCGGCTGGTTGCGGGTATCTTACACCAGCCTACACCAGCTTGCTGGGGAGTGCGGCGTCACGATCACCATCCCGGCGAACCCCGACGAGTTCTCGCTGACGTCCTCGCTTGTGGAGCTGGCTACGGCGATGGAGGAGATCCCCTTCAAGCATGCAACCAGGATCGGCGAGGAGACGTCCAACGGGATCTACACTGGGGCGTGCCACGTCCTCGCATGCGTGAAGCTGGCCTATCCCGACCTTGACCTCAAAAGGGCTCTGGATCGGGGGGCTGCCGATGACACGCGCAAGGGCGTGATGGAGGAAGTCAGTGACTTGGGGGAGTATGTTCTCCCCCTTTTTGAAGAGTAGGATTCTGTTTGCCTTGTACCCCTTAACAAACATGCTGTAAAAACTTCTGCGGGTTCGAACTGCTTTTATGTATGCAGTTGTTTCCTTTGTTTTCTTAGCATGTGATTCCGAGCACTTTGTTGTCGTTGTAGAGATGTCGACATCGAGGATGTCCAGCAGCACGGGCAGCCTGAGATGCCGGTGGTCGTCCCGGCACTTGCACTTGAGACGTACGTGCAGCAGGAGGATGTCGCAAAGACTGTCCGTGGAGACGAACACGGCGATGACGTCCTTAGGTTTGCATTTTTGGCTTTACTTCCTTCACTCTTTTGTTCGGATTGACTAAGTTTGCTGTGTTCTCGGGAGACAAGAACAACTTGACTCAGTCCTTTCCATGCTGGGCAGACCTCGAGAGTGCGTTGGCCGACCGAAATCGTCGAATCCAATACTGGAAGACGAAGTTTGAGGTGGCCGAACTCGAGAAGACCTTGACGGGAGTGAAGAAAGACCAGGCTGTGGAAGCCCTCCGAGGTCGCGAGGTATGGTTCAATTCGTAACTCAGGAGCTGCTGCATGGCAATGGCTGGAGTCTGTAGGGAGCTCCGAGTTCCTCGCGGGAATCCCGAGGAGTCGGTGGCCGGGTACATCTCATGGTTGAATGGGGCCTGCACATAGCTCGAAGGGATCGGCAAGCGCATCGACGAGGCCCTGA